ATTGGTAGTGCTCAGCTGAACATTGGTAGTGCTCGGGCACTCCCAGGCCTATACAAAACGACGCCCCTGCTCACAGTCTGAAAAATTTTGCTGCTGGACGAGCTCCCCATAGCTAAAGCACAATCAAAGTATAATTTTCCCCGCCATCTAAACCCCAATAATCGCCACTCGGATGCCCGGATAGGGACGATCCGGTATGCACACTTGATGTCTGTTTTGGCCATAAAAACCGGATTCACATGTTGCATTATCTCCTCGATAGCATCATCTATGCTCCCGTAGCTCACAGAAACATTGCCTGCGGGGACCGAGTCATTTACAGACGTGCCCCGCGGGTATGAGAGATGATGGATAATGCGAAAATCCCCCTTCGACGCCTTGGGGATCAAACCGATCGGAGAAATTTTGCAGTTTTCAAAAGGTGATTCGTCAAAGGGTCCTATGATTCGACCCATATCTTTCTCCTTGGAGATATATGTGTCTACTACCTCTGGTGCCTGATCACATGAACCCAGATTCTTCTCACATTCCCCCTGTGGGGGATCCACACATCCTAACGAGAACCCCTCTGTGAACCCATTAACTATGTACTGTGCCAAATCTGTGTCATAGTCTTTCAGGAGATGGCGGAGCATGCCAACATTCACAAATGGGAACTTCTTACCAACCCCCTCGGAAGTCTGACCTCCCAGGGCCCCATCAGTTTTGAGCCATTTTGTTTGAGCTATTTTGTTTGAGCCATTGTTTTGTTTGAGCCCTTTTGTTTGATTCTGAGCCAGTTTTGAGCCCCCATCAGTTTTGACCGTTGTAGATCGGCCCCCTACCATTTGGTCCCGAGGAACTACAGAGCCCTCGGGACCTTGCCTGCTTGCGACCCCGGTAGATAGCGACCCCTGAGGGACTAGAGAGCCCCCGGGACCTTGAACTTTTGTGATGCCTGTGGATGGTGACCCCTGCGGGACTACAGAACCCTCGGGGCCTACAGGGACTACAGAGCCCTTGGAACTTTGAGTGTTTGATATGTCCGTTGATGGCGACCCCTGGGGGACTACAGAGCCCCCGGAGACTTTACTGCTCGCCGTCTCCGTCGATCGCGACCCACGAGGGACTACAGAGCCCTCGGGGCCTGGATGTTTCCGAGCGTGGTTGTCCATAGGGGTTATGCGCGAGCCTTTACCTTTTTCACTGCGGATGCGGGGCACCGCCCCCGTACCCGATGGCACGTCTAGCCTCCAGTGGCAGGTCGGGGCACTGGAACTTGCCGTGGGCTCCTCCGCACTTCTCACAGGTATGGTGATACCTGCAGTTGGGCCAGGTACATCCGCTGCGGCTGTTGAAGTCCCGACATTTTGGAAACCTGCGGAGTTCCAGACCCTGCTGCTGCTGCTGCTGCTGCTGCTGCGCCGGTTGGACCCTGGTAACGCGCGGTGCATGCATTGCATTTTGGAGAGCTGCGAGTCCGTTCGCCACCGCCCCCATCCAAATTGTTTGCGGAGGCCGGTCCCATGGGTATGCTGCTGGAGAATTTTCCCGCGCCTTCCGGAAGGATTCATCATAATCCCTCCATGCCCTTCCCAGGCCTTGAGAGCACAGGCTCATCACTGTGGACATGTATGCAATGATGGCCGCCGCTTCTGCCGGATGTCGCCGTTCGCCGACCAAGTGGCCCGCGCGCGCGCCGCCCAGTCCCACGCCGGCCGGGCGGCCTTGGCCCTGGCTTCTGATTGGCTGAGCGGTCCGTGTGACCAGGCGAGACCGTTCGGCTGGGGTCGCGCCATCACGTGACCAGGGGATCCACGGGACCGGCTCCGAGGGCGCCCCGAGTCGCAGGTTGGCGGAAAAACCGGCTAACACCAGGTTTTACCCGTGCATTTTTGATTCATCGCAAGCTTAGAGTCGTTTACTTTTTGTTGGTTGCTTAACCCGTTCTTGAGTTATAGGCCATCAAACTCGCCGTTACATACCGAAGTTAAAAAAATGTAATGCAATATAACTCAAAAAGTATTGATCTGAGAAGTCTGATATTTTGCCAGGCGTCTTTCGGCCTATGATTACCCCTAGGACCGATATTCATTAAAATCTGAGAGATGAGGGTGACGGGCCTGGTACGATCTATCGTGGAATGCCCCAGCTGTCTGAGGTCAGGGCTGCGACACAGCTCAGCTATCTCGGGTCAGGACCGTGACCCCCTATGAAAAGACCCAGAGAGGGATCGAACATCGGTGACTCCCTGCTTAACCCTAACAATCCCTACTTTTTTCTCCGCGCTATAAAAAAAAAACACATGCGAGTTATAAAAAAACACATCCCTATCAACCAGTCCCAAACAGTGTACCAAATTTGAGCGCCATCGGCGTGGCAGTTCAGGGTTCAAGATATATGAGCAACCAAAATCGCTACTGCAGCAGAATAACGAACACTCTTGGCCCTTCACGTCGCACGTGTCACGACGCTCACCATGATACATCAGTTGTAGTCAATAACTCACCAAGATACATCAGTTGTAGTCAATAACGTCGAGATGGAAGGGATAGGATTACGCGCAACAAAGAGTAACGCAGGTCAATCAGCCCAGCGGTTGCTGACTTACAAGCCTATTAAAAACGTTACAGGAATACGCTTCGCTAGCTCAATCGTAATAGAGTAGAGTCATTACATATATGCAATTGCTACTATTTCCTGGTTTTCTTTATAGGCCAAGGCTTGGTAACTGATAACTCTGCTGCCCTGTAATGGGTCCGGCCCGCTGTGGGGAGTGAACCCACTCGCCTTGACTGACTGGACCGCCAACCGAGACGCTGCTGACTCTGGTGGTGAATGGTGAGCGGAAGAGGAAAAGTTTACGCCAAAGCTGAAGCAACTCTACATTGCTGTACAGCTAATACGCTTTTCACCTGGTGGCCAGTAGAGGAACTAACAGTTACTACAACTAACCGTCAGAAGCACCCAACACACACCGTGCCGCTCCCAGTAACGTACCAGGATGTAGACCCCAGTCGGGCAGCGCTCCGGCGTCCGGCGGCCGCAGCTGGTCCAGCAGTGACAGCAGCCGGCCGGCGCTGCCCTCCGGCGCCGTCAGACAGGCGTTCACGGCCACCACCCTGACGGACAGACGTTACACGGTCAGCAGAGAGCCGACACTCGGTCAGCGGACAGTGGCGTTGGGTCACCGGATAGCAGAGCATCGCCGCAGCACACAGACCAGCCAGGACTGTGCCGACAACGCAACACCGTTGGAGTAACATGACCCTAATAAATGCACCGAAAATGCTCTGGTCTATCTCCATTATTTATAATAATAAAAAAATGAAAGAACAACTGAGATGAGGGAAAGGAGTGAGGCGTCTGTTAGGGTCCCCGTGCAATACGCCCGGTGCGGTGACTGACCTCTGCGCCGCTAGCTGGAGAGCTGGTTCACCCGGCTGACGACCTTCTGTACCTCCTCGGCGGAGAGCGGGTGGCCGTTGGTGGTCCGTCGCAGGCCGTCCCGGTAGCCGGCCACCCCATCCGGCGACACGCCCTGGGGAGTCATAGCATAACACTCAGGCAGGTTCAGGTTTCAGTCAGACACACACAACCGTCCGGCGACACGCCCTGGGGGCGACACATGGGCGCGCTCAGGGCTCAGGTACAGGTCTCGCGAGATTAAGCGGTAGGTTTTGCACTTTTACATTTCCAGTTATATCTCAGAAACTAATCGATCTACGATGAAGCCATTTTACACGATCATGGCCGGCTTGTTACCCAACATGTCGATCGCATCTTCAACACTTAAAAGCTTAAGACGACGAAGATATAGCCTGAAGTACACTAAATTTTCTAGGTGCAAAACCTACCGCTAAAACCCGCGAGCCCTGTACCATGCACAAGGGCGCCGGGTGCAGTGTCTGTGTGTCCCTGACTGACCTGCAGCGGTGACGCTGTCACAGAAAGCACCTGTTCATTGCCCAATGGATCCAGCCCAGTTCCGGCCGGCCGAGTGCCCGCACGTACGCAGCCAGTGTTACGGTCTGTGTTCGATCTATGTTACGGTCTGTGTTCAATCTATTTTACGCCCTGTGTAACGACCTGCGTTACGGCATGTGTTACGGTCTGTGTTACATACCCTGTTCTGGGCGGTCTCCACCTTGACCCTCTTAGCGTCCCAGAGTCGGTACTGGTAGAGGTGCTCGTTCTCTGCCGAGACGTTCCGCAGGTGAACAAGCAGGTTCTGTAAGCCGACCAGCGTTTCAGCTGGCACCTGAGAAGGTCAGGGGAGGGTAGGGGAGGTCAGTGGTGTACTGGTGTCTGACATAGACCAGCGGACAGGGGGGAGGGGAGAGGGAGAGGAGTCTGGTGGCGCAGTAGGACCGTTCCGCGCTTGAAAGTGGACACATCTGAGGAGTCGTTCCGCGCGCGCTGACACTGCCTCTAGAACCGTTCTGCGAGCAGTCAGACATGCTGTCAGGCAAGTCAGGCCTCCCCCCCGTATTGACCTGAGCGCGCCTCTGGCCGGCGGCCCAGTGACCTGGGTCTGGGGGCCGGCGGCCGCCGGCCGGGAGTTGAATACAGGATTCGATCGAGACCGGGCGTGTCCGCGAGTCGGAGGGGCGACAGCCGTGACATGGTGGCAGCGGCAGTTCGTACGCCACGCCGCTCAGACTGTGAATAGTGAGGTGCGTCGTGCCCGTTTACCCTCCGTGGTTGTGATATGACTGGCGAGGATCCGGACGGCCGCGGCCCGGCCGTGGTCCGGGTAACACTGGCAGACTTTCCCGTCTATGACGGCTCTGTGTCACCGAACTCATTCATCCGACAATGTCGGAGACTGGCAGAGCTGGGCGGCATCCCGGCAGACAGGCTCGGCAGCGTGATGGCCGCCAGGTGCCGCGGCCTCGCCCTACAGCTGGTGGAGAGCGCCGGTGAGCACGGAGACGTGGCGTTCCCTGCTCACTGAGGCGTTCGGATCGGGTCAGCCGGAGGCTGCGGCAACCCAACTGAGTGCCATCGAGAAGGGATCCATGTCAGCACTGGACTACTCCCTGACCGTCAAGAGGCTGGTCACCGAAGCCTGCCCCGAGTTCTTTGACTCCAATGGTGGCGTCAAGAAGACATGTGCGCCGGCTTATCACGCGGCGCTCTACCGACATTTTCTGGTCGGACTTTCGTCGGAGGAGAAGCGTCTGCTTTCTCGTCAGGGCGCGAGATCTTTTGACACGGCCGTTCAGGAGCTCATCCGGGAGGAGCGACTGGATCCCGCTCACGAGAGCGACCAACAGCCATCTGGACGAACGGTTCATTGGGACTTCAACGAGTCCAACTGTCATGGAGTGGCCTGTGCTCGGGAGTCTCGTCCCGGTACTGACGGTGCGACTCGACGCTATGATGAGGGTGACTCCCCGAGCTGGCAGCGTGACCCGGGCGGCCGGCGCCGCGGATCACCGGCTCCACCCTCGGGCTGTGCCGCGGGCTGCCGGGCCGCCGGAGCCCGGCGTGGGCTTCGTCCGAGCGGGCCCGCACGGCGGCCGGCCCGCAGCCCCGGACGCGATGAGGGCGCCTCTGGTGGGCGCAGTCCGCAACGCCCGCCCACAGCTGACCGTGTGCCGGGGGAGACAGGGGCGTCGCCAGGGCGCGAGGATGGACGGCGGACCATCCAGTGCTGGTCATGCCGTGGATTTGGCCACCTCAAGAGGCACTGCCCAAACGAGCAGGCGGGCAGGCTGGCAGCCGAGTGGTGAGTCTACCGACCGCTCGCATATCTATCAATGGGTTTGTAGTTAGTGATGCTCTGATAGACTCCGGCAGTCAAGTGTCGCTAATAGACAGCCGCGTCTTCAGTATTATCGCGCCGAATTCAACCCTGACGCCGCCTGCTCGCCTAGTTTCCGCATCGGGACATGAACTTGATACGCAGGGTACGTGTAAATTGCCCGTGAGGATCATGGGTACCACTGGTGGACAGAGAGACACTGAGTTCGTGGTGGTCCATGATCTGCGGCACGACGTGGTGTTGGGATGGGACTTTTTGTCGGGGAATGACGTATTATTTGATTGCTCACGAGCCGGCCGAGAAGTTGGGTCGCAGCTTAAGATTAGAATTAAGAACCCAGTGACTGTGCCCGCACATTCCGCTGTTTGTCTCGCGGTGAAAGTAGACCAGAAGCTGTCGTGCGGGAGCGAGTATTTGTTTGTCGGTCAACGATCAGACAATGTAGAGATATGTGACTCGTTAATTACGCCGTTTTCCGACGCAGAGATCCCACTTTATGTTCGTAATCGCTCCGACCGCACTATCACGTTCCACCGGCGCAGTGTTGTAGGATATGTTGAAGCGCTCGAGGGCCTGGTTGAGCCGTGTGAACCGTGTCCCACACGGCCACACCCAGGAATGCTGACCACTGCGCAGCCCACGTTAACACCGTATCGGCGGATGACGGCAGATACGTGGGTAAGGCGACAGACGAGATTCTGTCCGATTTTGTTGTCGGGGAATGTATAACTGGCTCTCAGCGTGATAAATTAGCCGCTCTGCTATCGTCCTACCCGGAAGTGTTTTCGAGAGGGTATGCCGATATTGGTCTGTATCGTGATAGCGTCGTAGACTTAGAGTTGCAGCCCGGCGCTCGTCCTGTTTTCACCAAGCCGTATCCCATCCCATGGGCGCGCGAGGCCCAACTGAAGGCCCAGCTTGATCAGTTGCAGGGCTGTGGTATCATCGAAGAGGGAGGCCCTTCAGATTGGAATTCACCTGTCATCCTAGTCACGAAAAGTAGTGGTGAATTCAGGATTACCCAGGATATGCGCAATCTCAACAAACTGTTAGTACCCAAGACATTTGTTTTTCCTAACATTGATGATTTTATTTTCTCACTAGATGGTTGGAAAATCGCGTCCAGTCTAGATATGAAGCACGCATTCTGGAATTTGCACTTGTCCGACGCGTCTAGCAACATATGCGCGTTCCATACACTGGGCAAGACGTATTATCCAACACGAATGCCAATGGGCTGCTCTCAGTCGTCGTATTTTCTCCATGCCGCCATGCACAAGGTCTTGGGGGATGTGCCCGGCGTTCGGGTGTACGCTGATGACATTTTGTGCGTAAGTGAAAGCTTGGATGAGCATCTCGCGCTCCTTCACACCGTCTTCGACAGGTTGCGCGCTGCTGGCCTTAAGGTGGCACCAGACAAATGTCGCCTGTTCCAAACAGAGTTGACCTACCTAGGTCATCGCATCACCCCCCAGGGCATTAGCATCGACCCTGAACGAGTCAGAGTCGTCAGAGACTTGTCCTTTCCGAGAAGTATCAAGGAGGCCAAACGAATTTTCGGGTTCTTCTCGTGGTTTAGGAAGTTCATTCCATCCTTCAGTAGTCTGGCTGAGCCCCTCGTAGTCCTGTGCAACTCGGATAAATACTTTTGGAACGATCGGTTAGAAGCGTGTTTTGGCCGTCTTAAGTCGGAAATGTTGAGTGACCGGGTTCTCAGCTACCCCCGCAGAGACGGTCGGTTCATCCTGTACACTGATAGTAGTGCCACCGGTGCCGGACAGATCCTATGTCAGATACAGGATGGGGTTGAACGCGTAGTCGCTTTCAATGGCAATAGATATAGTAAGGCACAGCGCAAATGGACTATTTACGAGTAAGAGGTTTTCAGTTTCATTCAGGGATAAAAGAAGTTTTTCAGATATCATCGCACCGATCACAATATGATTACTCTAGAAATTCAAAGCAAAAACAAGAGGGGTAATGGAATATGGAAGCTTAACACTGCACATTTGAAGGATGAAGAATATGTAAAAAGAATTAAAGCATGCATTACCCACACGCTAAAACAATATGCGGTCCCCGTCTATCAAGAGGTTTTTTACAGTGACAGTACACAATACCAAGAAATTCAGCTTACTATAAGCGATTGCTTATTTTATGAAACATTGCTTATGATGTTACGAGGAGAAACCGTGCAGTTTTCAAAACAAAAAGCAAGACACACGAGGCAGAGAGAGAAAAGTTTAGAGAGAAAAATAATGATCGCAGAAGAAAAGTTAACTAGTTCTGGCCAGGCAAACGACTCTGTTCAGTTAGACATACTAAAGAATGAATTAGAGGAACTAAGGCGTCCACTTATAGACGGACTCATCGTCAGATCAAGAGTATCCTGGCACGAGAAAGGAGAAAGGAATTCAAAATACTTTCTCTCTTTAGAAAAAAGAAATGCGGATAGAAAAAAAATATACAATACATTCAGGTCGGTGAGAGAAATATCACAGATGCAAAAGAAATTTTAGAGAACTTTTCAAACATGTTTGAACAAAAATACAGTACAAATAGCGAAATAAACCCAAATAAAACATTTATATCTAGTAATATTAGAGATAAACTAAACAATATTGATAACGAGGCGTTAGAAGCTGACATTCAGATGTCTGAACTTACAGACGCGCTACGCTCAATGAAAAAGGGGAAAACGCCAGGCTCAAACGGATTCCCTGTCGAATTTTCCGCTGCTTTTGGGCCGAAATAGGTCCATTTTTACACAGAGCACTTACAGAATCACTAAAATACGGTCGGGGTTTAAATACACATCGCGAAGGTATGATAACGTTAATCCCCAAAAAAGGAAAACCACTCCATTCAGCCAAGGCTTGGAGACCTATTACACTACTAAACACTGACTATAAAATTATATCAACAGCCGTAGCAAATAGATTAAAAACAATAATGTCTAAAGTAATCAGCCCAGCCCAAACAGCTTACACGTCAGGCCGATATATCGGAGAAAATACTAGGCTCGTGCTAGACGTGATACACTGGGCTAAAATTAACAAGAAACCTGGGGTGATATTGGCCGCAGACTTCGAAGGAGCCTTCGAATCAGTAGATTGGAAGTACCTCGAGATGGTACTAAACGAATTAAATTTTGGCCCTTACATGAAATACATAGTCAAATCGTTATATCTAAACGAGAACAATCACTCACGAATTCTACTTAACGGGCATCTAGGCAAAAAAATACATCTAAAAAGAGGTATAAGGCAAGGGGACCCTGCATCAGGATATCTGTTCAACTTGGCAGCTTCCATCCTAACTGAACAAATTAAAAAGTCAAAGGAATTACAAGGGATAATCATAAAGGGAAACGAGATACGGATAAGTCAGTACGCGGATGATACTATATTGTTTTTAGACGGATCAGAAAAATCGATTGCCGGTTCCCTGACAGAATTAACTAAGTTTGGTTCCCAATCAGGCCTAAGAATAAATGTTGAGAAAACTTCCATTATGGAAATAGGTTCTTTGAAAGATCAAGAAATATATCCTGAATGCCCACTAAAAGCTGTAAAAGAAATGACAATACTTGGAATTAAGATAACCGACGATGCTTCTAATGTAACAGACAACAACATACAGCTAAAGATGCCCATGATTAAGTCATTGATACAACAATGGAAAAGGCGAAGCCTAACACCGATTGGTAGAATATGCGTACTTAAAACATTATTGCTCTCGAAACTTGTTCATTTATTTATGGCACTGCCTAATCCTTCAAAACAACGCATAAAAGAACTAGAAAAAATATTTTTTGAGTTTATTTGGGGACGAAAGAATGATAAAGTAAAGCGTACAAAAATAATACAAAGTTATTCCAAGGATGGACTAAACATGATTGAGTTACAATCATTCATTAAAAGTATGAAATTAACATGGTTAAAGCGCATGTGGATCTCCAGTGCAGATTGGACTACTATTGCTAGAACAGAACTCCCAGATATACAAAACATGTTAACATATGGTTATAAGAAGTTAGAACTATGTAAAAGAAATACAACAAATCCATTTTATTTGAACCTGATAGATGCATGGGTTCAGTTTAATCAAGAATATTATCCATCAATAGAGGAACTTGCTTCGGAAAACATTTGGTTCTCAAATTGGACAAAGTACGGAACAACTATTATAAAGAAATGGAATGATAAAGGCCTGAGGTTTATAGGAGATCTATATAACCTACGTACTGGATTAATTCTTTCAAGACAAGATGTTGAAAGAACCTACGGCATACGTATGAACTTTTTATGTTACGCATCCCTTGTTCGAAGCTTACCAAAAGAGATTCGAAAAGAAATAGACAAATCGTTGATAATAAAACCAAACATCCCATACAAAATTAACCAGGTATTGAATACCAGCAATTTTCCCCAATTAGCATATCGAGCATTTGTTGGAAGTATGCGGAATTCTAACAAAGAGTCCAATCTACGTCTTAAAGCAAAGTGGACTACAGATATTGGCGAGTTCGTTGAAGGCACAGTGGAACAAATATCGAAG